AAAATGCATTTGTTTGTATAGCTCTCCGTAAAAGAAGTCACACCCATGTTGGCCAACTAAAAAAGAATCTTCAACTTTTTTTCACATGGAGCAGGGAAATGTAATAGAAAATGGAATTACTGTCTTTTTTTCTGTTTCCCAGAGAAAATATGTCTGTACTCCATGCTCCAAGAAAAATTCTGGTGCTGATTCATCCCCTAAAAATATTGTGATTCAACCACTGGGATTTAATATTATTACCATGAGCTAAAGGTTGATACGTGCTAAATGCTGGAAAGATAATAATTCTTTGCTGCAAGCAAAGTTATCAAGTTTCAATAGAATAAAAATACATGTTCTTAAAAACACAATCATTTTGTGGTCAAAATGCTTTGGATTTGAAACAAAATCTGAACCTACTCTTAGCAGGATTACTTCACATCTAGCTAAGAAAACTAAATCAGTCATAAAAGGATTTGCCAGGAATCTATTACCTGAGTCCCTGGTAAAAATTATCTAAAATATTAAGGTGAAAAGACTCTCTTACTTCATCTCACTCTATGAATAAACACAACCTGAGAAGTTTGCCTAGGGAAAGGCAGATTTTCTGGATGACACAAATATTTTCCACTAGTCTTTTTCCCTTTATCTAACCTGAATTCCAGAGGATCATAATGCATTGATTTAATTTATAAACTGTCCCAGTATGGCAGCATTAGTAGGTAGAATGGAAAGGAGAAGTAACAAGTGCAAGAAAGAAGGTAAAACAGAAAGGTGAGAATGAAGAACAAGGGAGAAATGAAGCGAAGAAGAAGAGGGGGCATATAATCCTTGCCAAAATATAACAGCTTTAGTCAATTATTTTTTTCTGAAGATTTCAAATAAAAGTACGCTAACCAAACAACAGCCTTATAAGAAACAATTCATTCCGTTTATCTGTCAAAAATAAACTTAACACAAAATGTGCCAAGTTTGCACCATATGAATGACTTGATCAAAATAAGGATTCTCAACTTGTTCTATTCCCCATTGGGTTAAAGAAACAAAACTAAGGACATTTAAAAAAAAATAGATATTCTCAATGGGTGTTAAACACTCGAGTTCAAGTGTCTGTCTTCATTATCTGACTAAAACCACGGTAAGATCAAATCATAAAACACGAATAGCACCTATTAGATTACTTTCTGGTATAAGAATATTTTCACGATTTTAGGGACCCATCAGGTCTCTCCAAAACAGAAAAAAAGGAAAGAACTACTATTAAGATACATTAAGATAAAAAGTTGAGACTCCTCTGGATTTTTGTTCTGTGTTTTGAACTTTCAATGTGTAAATCTTTGAGATTCGGGGTTATTATTTCCATTTTCGAGTCTTCGGTAGAATATTCACTCTAAGGCACAATTATGGGTTACTTTCAGATTGTCTCTCATGGGAGGCACACCAAAAAAGCCATCCCAGGGAGTGGACTTGAGGCACATTTTGCAGAGGTATATCTTTTTCAGTTTGCTGGTTTCCTACAGATGGCTAAAGCAGGGGGATAGAACATGCTGTCATATTTCATTCATAACACACATGTACTGTAGCTCTAGGCAACAGATGGACAATCACTTGTTTAAACTACAAATGTGAAATACTAAGGTAGAATAGCAATATTTCTAGAAATGTATATGAAAAAATGCCTTTCCAAGCCAAGAGGAATGGTTAGAGGCTGTGAGGTTACATCAGTGTTTCCCTGATTTCCCTAGCAGCTGCCATAATTTCCCCAACACCCTTCAAAACTTGATAATGGAAGGATCAGGGGGCAGCAGACACAGATTTGACAAGAGAAGCCCAAACCATATCAAATAGAAGTAACACTGTTATTCCTGGCTGGTTCACATTAATAGGATTTTCACTAAGTAGGAAAACGGTTGATAGTTGTATTTTCAGAGCCGTTTCTCTTCTATGGCTTCACTGAAAAAATACTCTCTCTCTTCCTCTGGACCCCAGATATTTAAAAGTTGTTTAAACAGCAAGATGTTGATGATAAGAAAAAAAAAAATAACCCATATTGCATGAGCTGTAAAGACGTCAGCTTCTAATAGTCTTGATACCTTATACTGGGACACGTGGCTTGTATTTGTGTCTCAACGGCCACTTTGTCTACCAATCAAACTCTGTATTGATTCACATGATCTGGGAATCCAAGCAATTATTTTGGGCCAGGGGTGTAGCTCAGTGGTAGAGAGCTTGCCTAGCAGGTATGAAGCCCTGGGTTTGATCATCAGCATCGAAAAAAAATCTAATTTTGAAATAATCTGCAGAGCTCATGACATATGGGTTTTCATCTTTTCTATGTCTCCCATGTTATACAGAAATACCACATAGTTGTGCTTTTAATAGGTCTTTAAAAATAGGTATATTTTTACAAAATTTTTCTTATAGACTCTGATTTTTTCTGTTAATTATGTATTTAAGTGATTAACAATAAAGACAATATATCAAAAGGCAATGTGAATATATAATCATTAGGGTAATATGATTTTTGTATCTCTGTTATAGGCAGAATTTCACGTACTAAAACAGTAGAGAGTGACTTGGCATTGTCTAAATCAAATGATTAGTAGAAAAAGACAAGAATAGAAAGCAAAATAAATCATATATTTAAGAAATCCTAGAATAAAATATAGTAGGATCCTTTCCTTAGTAGACTTTGTGAAAGAAAAAAAACCTAAATCTAAATATTTTTGTATATTATGTGTGCACATTCATTATTATAAAAGTGTAAGTCTATTAAAAAAGAGATTCATGTTTAAAATCTTTGGTAAAGATACTCTGAGGTTATGTGATAAGAACGTACTGTAAAAACCGTAAGGAAGTAGAAGTCTGCTGGCAATGACAGTGATGTTCCGGTGATAGCATTTTCTTAAAACTTCTGCTTTTGGCATGTAAACATTCAGTTACGTAAGGTCTTCAATGCAACAAACAAATAGGATCTTATTGCATTTTTTTGGTATCACTATTTCATAAATTCTTCTTTAGGCAAAACATATTATATAACTACTTTTAAAGATAAAACCTACGTCCCAGTAAATTGGACTCTTCGCTTTTGGTCTCCAGATGATTACCCCAAAGTATTTAACAGTAAACATGTTAATGGTTTGATTCAAGCAGAATATATTACCACCCTAAATTTTCTAGGAGTCAGTGCTTTTTTTGAGGTCATCAGCACAGTCTGGCCTTTTTTTTAGAGAACAGGAATTCAGAGACACAGCTCCCATTGTATCCTAAAACTCACCAACTGCTCCTAAGTGAATCTCGTTATATTTCACATTATGAGAAATATAAGGTCAAAGATAAGAGAAGCCGGGAAGAATAGGACAATGGTCCAAGGAAGCTCATACAGTTTATGTCCTTGGAGATTCTAAGACAAAACTCCTACATGACGAAAGCCAAGAAGCTTTAGAATAACTTAGATGAGCTGTAGTGATCACAAGTTTAAGAATTTCTCATTAAAAAAAAAAAATCACTTTTATGATGCTTCCTATCCAAGTGAAATAAATTTAACTGAAATTCCCGAGGCCTGGGTCGCAATTTAAATTATGCACCGATAATTTTTCATTTCGGTTCTGGATGTTAAAATTTTAAATTAAAAACAAAACTCAGACAAGAAAACTAGCACTTCGTAGTTGTGAAGAAGACATTTGTGGAATAAGGGAAGGGTGAACAGGGAAATGTGACTATATTTGTTATATTTGATTTCTTTAACTACGTGTTTATGTATATAAGGATTCATTATATTATTATTTATACTTTGCTGTATATTTAAAATATTCCATAATTTAAAAGTATATACTTGGGGAAGATTTGAAGAAAGGTTTAAAAAAATCTTATGCCCAAATATCTAATTAGTTTACAAAATGGCAAATTGCCATTGCTAAGCTAGGTGTCTTTCCTCAAATGAGACATGCTAGAACTTAATAAATATGGTTCTGCAGTTGATAAGCAAGTGTTTTCCTGGCTAATAAGAGTTTGCATAAAGATTCTAGGCAGATATTCTGCATATTTTTAGCTCGGAAAGATAACTTTCTTCAGTGATTGTCTTTGCAAGTGTGGTGTAAATGTCACACTGATGATATGAAAATGTTTCCCGCAATATGTAATTCAAGTCGCAGAAGGATGATGAGAAGAATAAAACTGTGTTTCACACTCTGTTTCAAGCTTTCCTCTCTTTTTAAGTAAATGAAATAAAGCAACACAACTTCACTTTGTGTTTCCTGATTTACAGTTGTCAGGCAAAAACAGACTGGGGACTAGAGAGATTCAAAGAAAGAAAAGAAAGACGTCTGAACTATTTTTATCGGTATATTCCTTCAGAGGGAAAAGTCAATGTTAGTAGTTGTGCTTGTATATTAGGGAAAAACATCACAATATTTCTAAGATGAAAAGTAACACAGTGTTGAAAATGTTACAAAAGCAAGTGTGTCTGTATTATGTGTAGGTAGTATAGAAAAGGAAAATCTTACGGTAGTATTTTAGAATAATAATACGCTATTCAAACATACCCCAAAGTGCACACCAAGTGTATCCCACTCGTAATCTGTTTGAAAAAAATTGAAGGCTGGATGTGTTTTACACTTAGCTATTAGCTGGTAGCTATCTTCAAATGACCCGTGACCACTGATTGGTACAGATTCTGAAGTTGGTTGGTTGTATACCAAATTTGGGCTAGTTTTAATTGATGTATTCTACCACTTGAATATTTTAGAGCCTACGACAGAAACTGTGCATTGCTTTCTCCAAAGGAAAAGAGTGGTATAGAGCAATGGAGAACCACACTTTTCAACACCCAGCAAAGGAATGGCTAACATTTATAGCTACAGGCAGCACGAAAAGGAGAGGATGGTGACTCCAGGCTTACCGGCACCTGGGAGCTGGTATACTTGCCCAGGAAAAACTATATGACAGCAAATACCACACTAAAAAAAGCTATTCAACCAGATGAAAAGTGAGACAAACACAGGCATTAAAAGTTACAAGAATGCAGAAGCGAATGGCATGGAGTATAATCTGTGCAAAAATGTGGAAGTCCTCAGAACAAAGACCCACCAGGGCCCTGCATGATTGAATGTGAAACGTGCACTTGGTAAGAACTTGAAAAAAAAAAAAAATCTCATGAGCCAAGTGATTCCAAAGGGAGGTTAACAGCAGATGAAAAAAGACACCATCCCATAACTCCACTGCCTTGGCTCTATTTTCCTATTTCTTTTCTTAGCAATTTCTTGTGTTTCATTCTTCTCAGCGCTGTATGCACTAAGGAGCGATCAAGCTACTACATCTAAAGGTCAGTGCTCGCCTTGGCGGTCAGCACCCTGATGCGGGCGGAGTTACAGGTCTTGCAGAGGATGTGCCCATCCAAAGGGTAGCAGCCTTGGTTATCTCCTTCTGACAGGAGACCACCGCAATCCTGAAAAATGAAGACAGATGGAAATGAAGTCAATAAAACGGTCAGTACCTGAAATCCCAATTTCTCACCTTTCCGCTTATAAACTCTGCAGAGTGGCCACTCGCCATCTTTCCCGCTTTGTATCATGCATCCCTGGTACCATGCCTCCCTCCTTTCTATCATGTATTACGTGCTGCTAGTACATAATATAAGGCATCTTGAATCACACTGAACAAGGGTTTGGGTGCATATATACAAATCGACCACAGTGATCTCCCGTGGTCACTGAAAATGAAATACAGATAAAATGAGAGATGAGCCAGTGGATCTCGGTTCCCAGGTAGTGGTTTGCTTCTCAAAACAGAAAGACAACAGAAAATAAAAACGGACCCTAATTTATCTTTATTTTTTATTGTCATTTGCAGAGTCTCTCAAAATGAATAGACAAGGTGCAGAAATGGAAGTTTTGGTCATTTTTGGGCAAAAGCAAAAAGCAATTCTTGCCAAGTAGAAGGGCCCTCTGTGGTTTATGCATATTTACTTCAATTATAGTAAGAAAATAAGATCCTTTTTGGGGGGGTGGTTTTCTGGTACCGGGAATCAAACTCACGACCTTGCGCTTGCCAGGCAGGCGCTGTGCCGCTGAGCTAAATCCCCAGCCCCTGAAAATAAGATCCTAAGGGACATAGAGAACCACAGTTTGCCGGACTTTCCAGAAAAGTTAGTATGCTGTAGAGGAATCAGTGCTCGACTGTGAGGTAGGCCGCCGGGCTACACTGGGGGAACACCCCTAGTTCTATCACTATGTATGAGGCCAACTGCCACTCTGAAAACACGTCTTCATTTTCTACCTTGCCAAGCTGCTGCGAGGGTCACAGTGGATACTGGATGGAGGGTACTTTATAAAAATGCGAAGAGCTGAATAACCATGTAGGATTATATGACGGTAGACAGCATCTCTGAAAATCCATTTTGGAAAGGCTACAAAAGCAGTTAAATGCTACCCCTTGCCTTTGCAGGATATGGACATTTCCCTGGAGATTAAATACATAGAACATCTGGAGATGCTGAGTCAACATTTGTACACTGTTGGTCTCTTTACTTCAACAGTCATAAAACCTTGTGTAAAAGGTGTTAGTTTTTTTTCTTTTTTACTTGTCTTTACTCATGTCAGGGCTAGAGAAAAGCATGCACCCCAGGCTTTATGGCCAAATGAAGCATCCTGTATAAAAGAGACGGTCAGTTGTAGCAGAGGCAGAACCAGATGGAATGCTTCCTAGAGAGAAAGGGTGGCCCTCACAACACTGCCAGCCCCTCTGCCGGGAAGATTTCCTCTTGGACTAGACAACTAATCCCAAGAGGCTGTGGTAATAAGGAATCCCCTATTGTATCCACCAATGGGAAAGGGGGACTAAACAGTGCTGCGCTAGTAGTAAGGAAGGAAAATGCTTCAGGAGGGGTCTGGGGAACTTGTAGAACTACGATAATGATCATGGGGGAAGACTTGCTACCCTGGGCTATGTGAATGGCTATGTGTCCCTTAGCGTCAGCTGCCCTCCTCGGAGGGCTTTTTTTGTCACCTCCTGCCTGGACTCTGGTTCTGGCCCTTGACACCTGGCTCTCCCTGTGGTCTCTGGAAGCCATCTGATTTCTTAAACGCTCAGTCAGTGCTTGTTAATAAGTGAAATTCCATAACTTTGAACAAGAAACTCTGACTCCCCTGAAATGAATGGATTCTTATCCTTTTCTTTTCTTTTTGGTACTGGGAATTGAACTCAGGACCTTGTGCTTGCCAGGCAGGCACTGTGCCACTGGGCTATGTCCCTGGCCCCATTTTCATCCTTTTTGATGAGTGGCAATGCATTACAGCCAAAGTTTAAGATTCAGTATATGATGATGATGATGATGATGATGATGACAATAACAGTACCATTTCTCAATAATTTACCGGGGATATAGCTCAGTGGCACAAGCATCTGCCTGGCAAGTGCAAGGTCCCGAGTTCGATTCCCAATACCAAAAAATAATAACAATAATCTACAATTTATAAATTTGTATTTTAGCCTCACAGACATTATCTGGGGAATGAAGAATTTTTGTTTTTTGTACAGGTGGAAAAACGGAAACCTAGAGAGGTAAGGTGACCTATCCAATGTCACTTACATTAAATGCCCACGTCAGATCTAAATCCCAAGGCTGTTCACACAGACACCCTGGTCTTCCCTGATGAAACAACTGCTGTGTGAACACCCAGATCTCATAGGCCTTTCTGTGCTTGCCATGCACTGGCAAGGGGCAGGGCGCCCACTACAGACCTCACAGCGGTAGCAGTGCACGTGGAAGTCACGATCCAGAGCCACAATGCGGACAGTCTCCTCCTGGCCTGGGGCTGGCATGATTGGCTCCTTGCACACAGAACATCGGGGGGCAAATTTCCTGAAAATAAAAAAGTCTGGTTAGACACTAAGAATAGACACTGACAAAGAGGTGACATGCAGGGGGAGGAAGAAAAGGTGTCAACCCAGCATCAAAACACCTGGTCTGCATTTCCTGTGTGACTCTGTCACTTTGTCTGGGGTGGCTTTCTCACCTGCACAGTGGGGAAGTCAGACTGCTGAGGTCCTTCTAGGAGGCAAAGATTGTGATATTTGATGAGGCGCAAGAGCGAGTGTGCAAACTGCTTTGCATGCAGAGCACTGGGAGCTCTTTACCACACGGCCTGCGGTCAGTACAGCACCTGTGCACAGGTTCCTGCTAGAAGCCTGGGCTGCACCCAGGGGAAACCAAGGTGCCAGTAGGCCCACGCTTGTCTCCGATTTTTGCTTCTAGACCCTTGTATCCAATCCTTAGGTCCTAAGTAATCATCCTGAAGTTATTTTTGTGTCCTTTTGAATTCAGACCGTTTCTTTCTTAGAAATGTGTATTGGGTCCCAGGAACCAAAACAAGAAGCCTCATATATATTACTATTCAAAATAGAAGTTTAAATATCTAGTACATCAAATTTAAAATGACCAAATCTACATGTCCTACATTCTGATTTTGTTAAACTTTTGTTTAAAAAGTTAAAGAGCTGCTAACATTCTTCTTTGAAAGATTTTAGCACAATTCAAGGCTCTAACTATATAGACACCTAAAAATATACATACGCATACATAGGGAAGAATGTTAATATTTCTTTTCTCTTTTCTTTTTTTGGTAGCAGGAATCGAACTCATGACCTCACACTTGCCAAGCAGGCACTTATGCCACTGAGCTATATCCCTGCTTCTCTTATTGCTTAACATGACCTATGGTCCCTAACATTTTCCACTTCCTAGCAGATTAATAGGTTGCAAATACAGGGTGTCCATTCATCCATACGTTCCGAAACCAAGGGTAGCATTTGTAAAGGTGTGAAAGGAGCCATGATTCAAAATGGGCCTGGGTAGGGACCGAAGAGATTGTTGAGGAGAAAAAGAGACTGTGCAACTCAGTCTTTTCATGGTAATGGCTTTAAGATTAATGATGTTAAAATTTATCTATTTGTAGTGAGACTTAAAAAGAAATAATGATAGTAATCTAATACTTCACAGAGCACTTTATAGCTGTCAAAGCATTTTTTACATACATTATACTCTATATGTACATATTAATTTTCCTGGCAGCATCCAAAAGGCATCTGTGTGGCTGCAATCTAAATAAATATGAATTAAGCAGCAGATCAATTGATTGCTATGAAAGAAAAATTAAAACGATCATGGTACGACTGCAGCAGTAATCAGAGTTGTTATAATTGGTATTTTATGTGGAAAGTTTATATGCAGTGGCAAAAAGTTGCTTTGGACTACCTGATTATGTTTGAATCTGGGTCATCAGCAGTGAAATAAGCAGGCTTCTGGTATTAACGGTAAAATTTCCTTTCCCCAAAAACATTGGGACTGTAAATTCTGTGAGGGTGGAAGTATGTTTTCTTTCGTACTGTTTTCTAATCATAAGCCTCCTGCCCCCAGCTCCCCAAAACAGAGTTACTTACTCCTTGAGGATTAGATTTCTTTCATTTTTTGTGTGTGCCTTCAGGCCCCACTACACTATGAGCTGCAAAGGGTAGATTTTGCTCCTTTTCTGATTACCATGACTGGTCCCGAAAGAAGAAATCTGAGCAATATCTGTTATGGTTTCTGTCTAGATATCCTCCCAAAGCTTCATGCGCTCAAAGGGGGGGATTTGGGGAGGTGACTGGATCATACTTGTGTTTGGATTAGTTCACTGATGCGCTCATAGCTGAGAGTGATGTTGGAGATGAAGCCTGGTGGGAACAGGGCCTGGAATGTTATGTATTTCTCCTCTGTCCTTGATCTTGCCCTGCTCCTCACTGCCATGTCATGAAGTCGTTCTCCTTTGCCATGCTCTCCTGCGATGGAGCCAGACCACTATGGGCTGAAACCTCTACAAAATGTGAGCCAAAATGAAATTCCTCCTTTCCCAGCTATGAGAAGGTAACTAAGACAATGTCTAATGAAGTATAGTCTGCAACATTTATGTTCAACTTCCAGGCCCTTCTTCTTTAGAGAGGCATAAACTGGATTTCGGCCAAGTAATGACTCTTTCCTACCAACTGCCCTTTTCATGATGGCAAACAGCAAAGTGCAGAGAGAGGAGGGGTCCTCAGAGTGTTCACAGGTTGGCAATTTGAGGGGCTAAAAATCCCAGTGGTCTCTCTCATGCTCAATTCACTGAGTGGATAATAATAACAAATAATTTTGATGAAAACATTTTTAGGATTCCAGTTACCATTTATTGATTATTACTATGTGCCAAGTTCTATTAAACACTCTATGTACTTAATATTGTTTTTTAGCAGCGTTATGAGGAAGTACTTTCATCATTTCTACTTTACAGCCAAGAGAGTGATGGTCTTAGTCATCTCCTACCCAGCATATTTCTGGCAATCAAGAAACGGATCCTGATTAAACAAACAGATTAGGGTTATATCCACGCTAGGAAAGTACAGACAGTAGTATGCTGCCCCCCTCAGCATACTGAATGGTGCAGTTACAATTACTTCTCTGGGATTCTTTACAGCCCTGGCACTGGGAATGACCTGAGAGGGAGTTCTACATTTTCATGCATTTGTTCTATTAATTTGTACACACATATTCTCTCTTACTACCAGATAATTTAAGTTGCTGACCGCAAGACTTTGTGCCTATATACTTCATTGCAAATCAGCCTGTGGTAAGTAGTACCACCAAACTCCATCAAACTCGGAGCAGATGTGAATCTAAACACGAGGAGAGGGCTGAGGTCAGAGAAGCTGTCTTGGAGGAGATGGTAATTGAATCTGCCTTTAAAGATGACTGCTTAGCTTAAATGGGAAAGTGTATGTGTGTGTGTATGTGTGTGTGTGTGTGTGTGTGTGTGTGTGTGTTGTATTTATAGAGGTGGACAGTCAGCCAGGGTACCAAAGGCACAGCAGTCCCTGAACTGACATCTGTGAAAGAGCTCGCGAACCAACTGTGACCAAGGACAGTATGTAGACAGTGACCTAACTAGCAAGAGTTCAAAGTTCTGCCCATCAGCTTTCTAAACACCATCTCTGAGGTCTTGCCAAGAGGTCACCCTTTTATTCCCTAGGAAATTCCCTCTAGGAATACCCTCTAGGAATTTCCTTGATTCCTACATAACCCACTCTTCAAATTCTGCTTCCACAAAGTCTGCCCTGACCCCTGAGCTACACAATCTTTCCTGACTCGACAGCACAGGTCCGTCCCTCGGGGGGTGCCACCCCTGTACCCTACTCCCCCGCTGTGTCTGCACACGCTCTCTGCCTTGCTATGCCTGTCTAGGCAATTTTGTTCCTTATAACTTCTCCTTCAGGACCTGGTACGGTTATTGGCACGCGGCAGATTCTCTGTAAATGTGAGTGGGACTGTACCGAAACACATCTCCTAAAAGCTGACAGAAGACTGGAAGTGATGGTGCACACCCGTCATCCCAGCACTTTGGGAGGCTGAGGCAAGAGAATCACAAGTTTGAGCCCAGTCTGAGTAACTTGGTGAGACTCTGTCTCAAAATGAAGTATAAAGTGTTGGGGATACAGCTCAGCATGCAGACCCTGGCTTTAATCCCCAGTTACCCAACTCCCCCACATCCCCAAAACACCAACCCCATAAACTTACAAACACATGGAAAGAAATCCCACAAAAGCAGACCCATTCAGAAAGTCCAAAAGTAAGACCTCCAAGAAATGCTTGGGAAAGGAGTTTGGGTGACTTTGCCTACTCTCTCTAGTCCTGCATTTCCCACCTGGTTCTGGACTTTGAGTGGCTTTGTCTTTCACAGCTCAGAATAAGAGTTCTAAAAAAGAGTTTTTTCTACTTTCTTTTCATAAGTGAGGAAAATCTCACAGTCTCTCCCTCTACAGACCTGCCAATTCTGGAGACAGCATTATTTTTAAAGAAATAATTTCTGTTTTAACATGCAAAGCATGGTCGGGGGAGGGGGCGATAGCTGAGTTTGGAGATTTCTTTTTTCCTCTCTCGTTGCTCAAGCCTGCTTTTTTGGCGCGTTCAGACCCACACACTTATGTCACGAGTCTCAAGTCTTTAATTATGGTCCCCACCGCTAGAAATGAAAGATAAATGGCATGGATATAAACTTACATTTGTCAGAATTGATTTCCTGTTTTAATTGAGGGGTGTAGTGTATCAGTCTTTTCCAGCAATAGAAACATGTGTGTTCTGATTATATCTATCAGTCTTTCTTGGACTAGGGTAAGTCTAAGAAAGGAGAGAAACAATGACAGAAATACACTCCCGATTGGTATCTTTTCACTTCCTTTAAATAGAAGAAGGTTTTTTTTTTTCCCTGTGTAATTACAAGCTATAAATATCAACAACGTGAAGTGCAATTTATGCTGCGACTGTCCTTTAAAAGTGAGCCCTTCCTTGTCTAATTCAGGTTGAGCATTTCTGCCTCTGGGTTTTTTTTTTTTTTTTATTCATTCAGCCTCACGTCTTTTGGTGAGGTTTTCACTTTCGCTGCTACTTGGAAAGTGGTCAGGAAATTCATTTTTTAAATATGAGTCTCAGGTCTCCAAACTGCTTGTGGAAAGTACCTCCTGGCTGCTGACGATCAGCAGTGGTGAAAATGAAGCCACAAGACTGCACACTTGCAGGCTGGAGAGCTCAGAGTGGTGAGCAGTATGAGCTGCTTCTCAGGGACAGCCCCCCACACTGTCCTCACAGCCAATGCCCAGTAAGTAGAAAAAAGAAAACCCTCCTATCTTCCACTAGCAAGTCGCACCTACAGCTTTTATGCAGCCCCTAAACATATGCAGCATGTGATCAGGAAACCATCTAACACACTGGCCAAATAAAAATGAGCAAAATGCAAAACTGTATAATTTTCTCAAAAACCTCAGCTATCATGGAGGAAAGTGGGATCCACAAATGAGAGAAATGAAGAAGAGGGATGTATATTTCTAGACCAATGATTTAGTGGGCTCGATCATGAGGTTTTACGTTCTGGTTTTTCTCCAGCACCGGGAACCGAACTCACGACTTTGCGCTTGCCAGGCAGGCGCTTTGCCGCTGAGCTAAATCCCCAGCCCCAGGTTTTACTTTCTGATCCTCCCCTAAAGACCATGCAATACTGCATCAGTCAATTTCAACTTGAAAACATCTTCAGGAAGAGAAGGCCGGGGTGAAGGGAGAGGTTAGGGAAGGAAGTGACAACTGCATAAAGCTGCTCTGGGTATGCGAGAGGCTTGCGTTTATAAGAGGGACAGAGCTGTTCTCTGTGCTGTCCTCCGTAGCCTCCCGACTGCAGAGAGGCAGGGATGTAGACCTTGTCACACCTGGGAGAGTTTTAGGCCAAAGTTTGGAAAAATGATGAAATTGAAATGCTCAGCTCGGAGAAGCTGAGCGATTTGCCAAATGTTCTATACACGCCGTCAGGTCAGGGTCCTCCCCCATTCTCCTGCAAGTACTTTGTGGTTGAGTCAGATTTTCCACAATGAGAGTCACATGGATGAGCCTCGAAGAAGCTCTGAAACGGCCTCCATTGATGACCGCATGGATTAACTGATAGTCACTCCTGCACTGGGTGTGAATAGGCTCTTTACAGGTCACTATACCCGCAGCACCTACAGCTGTGAGAGAGAGGAATGTGCAGCCCAGACTCCAGGCAGTAAGAACAGATGCCCAGAGGACTGGTAGGCTGGAGGAAGGAGAGGATGTGCCTACTTGTGGAAGTCCTCGATGCAGTGAATGAGCCCGCCGGCGTCCACGGTGAACGGGATGCCATCCAGGCTGCGGTGGCACATCACACAGGTGAAACAGTGAGGGTGATAGGCCTTCCCAGTGGCGCGGAGAATCCTCTCCATGATGGGCTTGGAACACACGTTACACTGCTCCAGAGTATTCTGTGGAGGGAAAGCACATGCTGGTGTTAGGCTGCGACTGACCTCTGTGCAGCACGCATGTTCTTACAAAGACTACGGGCTCATATACCCGTCCACAGCATTCCTTGGAAGGCAGAATGTGTACTGCTATTACAGAGGAAGGAAATGCAATTGCATGGGTTCACGGCCTTTTCTGAGGTCATCCAAGCATTAGACAGCAAACCTAGGATTTAGAACATGTGCTTCCTGACTGCTACCCTGTTCCTCACCACCATCACAAAAGTGATAGCAACTTCTCTGTAAATATTTCTGGCCTTGTACCACAAAGGTTGCCCTAGACAGCATGTGAACAAGTGAGCATGGCTTTGCCCCAGTAAAACTTTATTTACAGAATCAGATAAGAGGCTAAACACGGCCCACCGCTGTCATTTTGATCACAGAACTCTCCCAGTTAGGTTCTGTATTGGAGAATGCTTTACTGCTACTTCTAAACCTTGCTTCATCATCTAAGATCTAGGGGATGGTCCCAAGGCCCCTAACTTTTTGAAGAACAGTCTGATGACCCAGACCATGCACGGTGGCTCTGGAACCCAAATCAGAGCTCAGCCCAATCAGTGGGGCTTTGACCATTTACTACCTTGAGTCAAACACCATCATTACATTTTGGGTCCAGGAATACTCTGGAAGAAATGTTGACTATAGTGTGTGGTCTGGCTTTGAAAATTGAATTAAAAAGGCAATTTACCTGTCTTTAAAAACATGTACTAGTACCATCCTCATAAGAGGCATTATTCAGTTCAGAATTATCCACATTTCACTTCCCATCCTTCCCCACAGTCCTTGGCTTTCTCCAATCACATTTCACATGTAATATGCTTAGTTATCTGGCTGGCCTCACTGGAATCTGGAATAAACCTAGGATGCAGATCTTATTAGGAAGATGTAGAACTGGGTGGGCTGTGGAAATTAGGAAGTAACTGCCCTCTTACCATGAAGTCTTTAAATTCCTGTGAGGCAAGATGTGCCTATGCGGAGGTAGCTAGTGTCCTCACAACGACCTATGACTATGGCCTCTGCCTTTGCTTCCTTGTTGGCATGGAGCCTCCTCCAGGACATCCCTCGGTCTCACAATGACTCCCAGTTGTCTTTCCAACACAACAAAGTGTTTTCCTAATAACAAAAACTGAATGGCTCTGTGATATAACAAGAGCTAATTCTGCCCATGATAGTCAACTTCCCTTTCTAGGCTTAGCTTCTTATAACACCTTGGACTATTCCCCTCTTGTTCAAACCTATGAGAAAATTGCACACTTTTGCACCTTGGTCAATGCCTACTTGAATCACAATTTACCATTTTGATCTGTTAAATTACCTTGATGGCCCCATGTGAAACTGGCACCTCTTTTCTGTCTCCTTGCAGAGAACCTTACTGTTCTTGCAGTACTTCTTGTGCCACCTTCATTAAAATTATTTGGGCATTTGTCTATTTCCTTTACCAGACTTGTCATTTCATTAAGGGTATGGACTGTGTCTTGAAGATATATATTTTTTGGTCCTGTACTGTACCAGGATACTGCCTGGAATAAAAATAAGCTGGGGATGAATATGTGCAGGAGGAATGAATGAAGGAATACTGCTTAATCCCACGCTGGCACCACAGTGCTGGCACAAGTCTCTCAACTCTGGAACCTATCCCAAGATGAATTGGGAAATCCATCATCATCCTCTCCTCAAAGCTGCGGTCACCTGAGGTTCTGAAATTGCCTAGTATCCCTCTGGTCACAGTCTAAACTCATGGAAACTATTAACCTATTTTTCTCCCATTTTGAAGTGGTTAAATTAAAATAGCAGAAGAGCAGAGGAGGAGAGCCCAGAATCGATGATGGTCTGCAGAACGAGGGCCCTCCTTTTTTGCTATCCTGGTGAGCGGAGCTACTGTGGCTAGAAATTGTCTTCCCAGGGCTTGTGCTTTCCTTCTCTGTGGCTTTTAACTTAAAAAAACAAAAACAAACAAACAAAAAAACCTTGTCCTGTAATGTAGTTGAACCAACCAGAGAAATACTTGACCAGAAATTGTTTTTGTTTGTATTGAGGCTTGGCTGCAAGACTCAGCTCATTTACTAAAAATCAGCTGCAACCTATAAGGTTTCAGCCATTTCTGTGGAAAGATTTTCTGGTCTACAGGAGCTCTGCTCAAGGGACAGGTAACCTGAACATTTCTGCTATAAAAGAAAAACGTGTGAAATAGGCCTAAAATCAGCTTATTGTAAAATGCTTCTAAATCAGAAAAGACAGTTTCCCAGAAAGCAGCTTGGGCCAGCAAATGACGAATGGAAGGCACACAGATCTTCATTAGCCAGCTCCCTGCCCTGTGTTCCTCCACCTTTGTCCCCGTCCGTACCCCCATACTCCAGACAGAGCTGCTCTTTTGCTTCTGAAAGTAGCACATGTCTATAATGTATAATAATTACACTCAGCTCACGTGTACATACTTATCACACCTTAAAATTTGAATTCCCCTCCCACTCTTCTTTCTCTTTGTATTGCAAGATACCCTTCCAATTTTCAAAGTCTATCTGCTGTTTTTCTATCAATATAGGAGAAACTATGTGATGTTTCATCTTTGGTATCTAATTGATTTACTTAGTATTATGTCCTAAAGCTGCACCCATTTTCCCACAAATAACTAAACTTCATCTTTTTTCATGGCTGACTAGTACTCCATTGTGTATATATACTGCATTTTCTTTAGCATTCAGCTGTTGAATGCCACTTCCAAGATTCAGCTGTTACGAGTTGTGCTGCTATCAACATGGGTATGGATGAATCACTGCAACTCTGAGGAAGATACCCAGGACAGTTACAATTTGGTCACATGGAATTTCTATTTTTAGTGTTTGGAAGAATCTCCATGCTAATTTCCATTTAAGTGCCACTGGCTTACACTCCCACAAAAATTGCAGAAGAGTTCCTCTGTCTCCAACCACTCTGCAGAGAAAGGTAGATTTTGACAGTCTCAGGGAGATGGGTACTTGGAGGTCTCTAATTCAAGCTGTCCTTGTACAGTGATTGTTGCCTTTAGAAATGTTAACTTTTTTGCTTTACAAAATTAAAATGTGATCTTATATAAAGCAATTCATGTTAAAAAAGAAGTAGTATTGTGAAACAAGACAGTCATTGGAATGATAAGGTGTGATGTCACATGTTCCAGATATAGTGTGAGTCTTACTGGGATAAAAAGGAAAAGAAAAGAGAGAGTTTGAAAATATTAGCTCCTGAGCATCCTTAGAGAATACTGCATTCCAGGAGTTTTCAATTCTCCTCCCTTGCTGCTCTCCAAGTCCTTTGCTTAGAGAAACAGTGCATCAAGGAAGACCCAAACTCACTTTTGGCTGAAGAGTGTAAAAGGATGGAGCCTGTGGGGAACCTACATTGTACCATTTGAAAAATCACAATTTTTGTCCAACTACCAGACTCAGGAAACCAAGGCATGGACAGGTAACACAAGTAATGGAAGATTTAGAGTAGATATGAGTCTCCTAATTTTCTCTCCAATGGAGGATTTTTCAGTTCTATCTCTCTATATGTATTCTACATTTCAGTAGACACACTCAACATTGCAAATAGAAAGTATTCAGGAATGCTATGTGCAAGTTACACACCTGCACACACAGACACACACAAATACATACATACATATATAAAGACAAGAAATATGTCGAGATCTTGATGTTTGTCTCCCAAACTCCTGCAGGATGAGACAGAAAACTCATGGTTGCATTCTTAGTGTCTACAATAGTGTGCTTGCGTAAGTTTTGGTTGGGTGAGAACTTTACCGAAAGTACAATTATTCTGCGTAACCAGGCAAATATTTTTGTAGCCCAAAGCTTCTCAATGGGCAGGCTAAGACACAGCATGCTTCAATAGGCTCCACCTGGGCCGGGGATATAGCTCAATGACATAAGCACCTGCCTGGCAAGTGCAAAGTCCTGAGTTCTATTCTCAGTACACAAACAACAAATAAGCTCCAACTATAGCATTAGTAGGGCCTAGAGGTTTCTACAGATCCTCCATGGTCATTGTGAGTCAGGAGAAGCTTCACCCACTGACTCCAGCGTGCTGAACAGACACCATCATTTTCCACATGAACTGTGATAAGAAAAATATTGGGAAGTACCTTTCAAGTGTAGGTGTTTCCAGGAATGGCAGTGTGGCTTAGTCAAAAGATAACAGTGTGAAGACTAAGCAAATCTCTTTGGGAGTGCCAGAGTGATTATTTAAACTCAAATAGTGAGATCACCTAACTTAACTGTGGAATACAAACTTATCCTATATCTTGATTCTGGTGACGAAGAAGGCTTCCCCAATAAACGACACCATTATATCTTGGTAGTTCCCTTAATGAGTCTGTGGCCCAAAACCCTCCAATAGCTCTGCCTTCCTATAAAGTATGTGATGCATTTGTCCTCCCCCACAACACTCCCCTTCCTCCCTCCCTCCCTCCCTCCCTCCTTCTTTTCTGCCTTTCATCCTTTCCTCTTTTGCTGGTAACCAAAAGGAGGACCTCAATCATGTCAGTCAAGTGCTCTACCACTCAGCTGCATGCCCAGCCCATGCACGCATTTTTTCATTAAAAGTTCTCTCAGTCTTTCCAGATGTCTTCTACCTATGCCTATATCTTAATCTAAATCCAGATGTCTATCTGTATTTGTGTCTAATATACATTTGAAAACAGTCAGAAAATAGTACGAGCAAGCTTAGTAACATCCGTATGACTTTGATTGTTCTAGTCAAAATTAAAATTCTTGCTTTACAGATGAAAAGCCTACCTTCTCCAGCTAGGAAAACTGCTGAAACAATTTGTTCGATGACATCATACGCTTAACATGTATTTTGTTGTGACGTCATGACTCCCTCTCCTCCATAAGAAAACGACAGCTATAAACCACCTAACGGAAAGGTCAGTGTAAGAATTTCAACATCCATGTATTCTTTCTTTCTGCCAATCATTTTGAGCATAA